CGAGGAGCTGGTTGATCGGCGCCCACCATGGCGGCAGCCGCCACTGCCAGAAGGTCTCGGGCCTGCTGACGTACTCCTCGAGCGACGCCGCCTGACGCGTGTCCTCCTTGACCCTGGCGTCGAGGAAGGCGGGCGAAAACCTCTTGACATCGAACTCGCTGCCCCCCCTGTCGGTCAAGGCGCGTCCGCCAGCTCTGAGACCCCAGCCGACCCGCCCTAGCGTGAGCACCAGCGCCGAGACGGGGTCGCGCACCGCGGCCCACGGCCTCTGCAGCGAGGCCAGACGGCTGCTGTCCCTGAGGCAGGCCTGCACGGCGGCAGGAGAGGCCTGGCCAGACCAGCTCATGGCCACGAAAGCCTGGACAGCCAGTCCCGTCGCAATCACCAGCGGATCCTGCCTCCAGCCCTGGGGCGCGCACTGCAAGCAGAAGGTCAGCGCGGCGCCCGTCGGCAAGTTGCAGGCGGCTTTCGCCGCAGATATCCTGAGCGCCCGCATGCGCCCAGGCGGGACCCCGTTGATGGCCGAGCCCCACAGGGCCTTGGCAGCGGGGCCTGCCCGCTGGATCTTGGCCTGCCTCATCCCCGAGCCGAAGATCCTGGTGAGGTTGTTGCCCTGCCGCAGCGCCGCCGGCTCCCTGGCCACCTGCGCCCCCACCCTGCGGTGGCTGCCCGCCGTCGCGTCCCCTCCAAGGTCGCGGTGGCCAGCGACGAAAGCTTCGTCGGCGAGGACCCACTCGGCGTGCTGCTGCAGCTCTCTCCCCAGCTTAACCGAGGAGGCCAGTGCCTTGGTCTTTCCCCAGTTGATGGGGAGCCGCTTGTCGCCCAGCATGGCGGCGACGCCCTTCGCGAACCTGGCGATCTGCTCGACGACCAGCCTGCGCGTGCCTATGCCGTGGCCCGAGATGTCGTCAATCACGTTGACCACCCTGCCAATCGGCAGCAGCTTCCTCGACTGCAGCAGGAGGTCCTACAGCGTGATCCTCGCCATGGTCGTCGCACAGGAGCATCCAGCAATGACGGCGTCGTCGACGACCAGCTGCTCGCTGAGGGCTAGGTCGGCCCTGGCCCTGCGGGGGCCCGAATACAGCACACACAGCGCCTGGATCAACCCAGTGTTGAAATCGCAGCCCCGCGCCGCTTCGAGGAGCAGCCCGTGGCTGATCTGCTCGTAGAACTTGCTGATGTCGAAGTAGACCGACGCAGCCTCAAAGTTCTTCTCGCGCGCCAGGCCGAGCAGGAGGTTGTGGATGTAGGCCGCCCTGTCGCAGCAGGTGTCCGAGTCTGCCCACCAGTATTCGGGGAGCTTGTGGTCCCGCTCCCAGCCCGCGCAGTACTTGCGCCTGATGCGGCTCCAGATGCGCAGCCACATGCAGAGGAGCCCGATCGGGCGGCGGCCCCCGTCGGGCTTCCCCAGGAAGACGATGATCGTGGTGAATAGCTCCGACGGCTGGGGGTGCCGTTCCCAGGCTGTCAAGATCTCAGCCAGCCTGTCCGCGCACCCCCTGCCTAAGCTGAGGATGAGCCCGGGGTGGAAGGCGTCCCATCCCAGAGCCGTCTTCCTGGGAAAGGTCTCAGCCGCTGCCAGCGCAGCCTCCGCCGTGATGGCGTCTAGCCCCAAGGGCTCGCCCCAGTTCTCAGGGCGGGCGCTGGCGGAGCCCTCCTTGTGCCAGAGCGCCTTCCACTCCTGAATGATCCTGTCCAGGGCCTGCTGCCCGACCAGCGGGACTGGAGGGGCCTCGCCCTCGCCAGGGCCGAGGATGGAGCAGGTCTCGAGGTTGGCCTGCCTGCTGATCGCGTGGGCGCCCTTGCCGTTTCCACTGAGGGCCTCGGCCATAAACTCCTTCCAGCGCTGCCCGGCGAGCTTCACGTCCTCCCTGCGCTTGACCTCTGCGGCGGCGCTGATGGCCTGGAGGAAGATGCCGCCCTGCTGCGACCTGCCCGAGATCTCTGCCAGCATCGTCGCCATCTTGGCGCCTCCGAACATCTCGCAGCCCTCTGCCTCAAACTTGGGGACCAAGCCTAGGGCGGCCGCCTGCAGACGCTTGACGTGCTTGTGGTGCCCAGGCGAGGGGTGGGGCACCGACGCCGCGGCCGCCAGCTGAGTTGCCAGGCGCCCCGAGGTGATCCAGCAGCGCGTTAGCGGGCTGGTCCTGCGCACCTCCTCCGAGCGCAGGAAGTGAATGAGCTGCTTGGGGACCCTCTTAAGCCCCTGCGCCCTGCCTCTGTATTTGGCGCCGTCCTTGATGCCGAAGATGTGTATCAAGCGCTCCTCAGCCTGGTCGAAGAACTCAATGATCGCCTTGTTTGGGCTCACACTCTCGTCCAGGAGCGGCGCCTTCCAGTCCATCAGCGAGTCCTCCTCCTCTGGCTCAGGCTGGATCCCCTCCTGCTTAGCAGCAGGCAGCTCGAAAGGCTTGGGGCCTTTCTGCACCCAGACACCTGCCTGGCTGCTCAGCTTCTCGAAAGTGAGCCTGACGGGGGCGTGCGGGCGCGTAGTCGCCTGTCTGAGCACCGACACCTTCGGCCCTAGCCCCGCCAGGACGTCCGAGATTACGAAGAAGTCGTATGTGCTATCGCCGCAGGTCGGCTCGTCAGGCGCCACTATCACCGCCCCCACCGCGCGTGGCCACCGCGAGCTGCTGAGGAGGCTGGGCTCCAAGTTCCAGTCCGCCCCCACTACGAAGGGCTCCCGCAAGCCCAGGAGGAAACCCTGCAGCTCACTCAAGAGGTCCACGTTGGTCTCATTGAGCTTGACCGAGCACTGCAGGCACAGGCTGACACACGCCACGACCAGGTCCCCGAAGGCGACGCGCCTCGCCACGATCCTTGAGGCGTGCTGGCCCCAGACCTGGTCCATCGAGGCCACTCCGCGGTGTTCCCCGACCAGCACTGCGACTCCAGAAGAGACGGCTTGAACCGCCGTCCCTGTGCTGCGGCACTCTCCGAAGGCCGCGTTGATGCCCTTCCGCTTGCACCAGGCACGGGCCGAGCCTACAGCCAACGCCGAGGTGAAGCGGGTCTCCTGGATGAGGTACACGTCGTCCCTGACCCTC